TTGTTATAACAGTGGTTACGGAACCATTAAGGCGTTCATTACTTCTAAAATACTTGTTTAAAGATTTTGGACAGACGGACAAGAGAGACTCTAGATGATAGGATCTGGAAACCTCAAATTTTAAACAAATATTCTTAATTGTTAAAGAATTTCCATTATAAAGAAATTACAATATCTATTTAATGGAAAAATCTCTTTTTGATCCATTTATGCATTTAACGTATTACTTTTCAATGTAAGTTTTTGCTGGGTCCTATACTGTCCGTCCATCTGCTTATATAAAATCTAAACTTTTTATAGATTTTCGCAATTTCCTTAAAACCAAGTTTGCCCAACTCACAAAAATTTTTGTGTAGTTTAATGTTGATAGTTTTAAGAATATTAACTTTAAAGCTTAAATTGTATTTACTATGATTTTAACACCTGTTGCTGAAACTTTGACAATGACTGCTGCTTTCTAATAAATGGTTTGTTACACAGTTGTTCAGTTCTTTTACATACAAAATATTTTCTTGTCAAATTTTTGACTTTTTTGCTCATTAACTATAAAATATCTTATAATTTTTCATACACCAGTTGCCACTGTGTCATTTAATTCATTCTCTAGTTAATTTGCCACAAATAAAAAAAATATTTTTTTTTCTAAACAACTTTGTCTATGATAAACTAAAATAAATTTATTAATTGTTTTTCTTTCTCTTTGCCAACATAAATTTTCATTAGCTGTTAATTCTATAAACCGTTCAGGTTTTGTTTTTTTTTTTTGCACCCAGAAATTTATTGTTCCAAACCACTAAATTGCCACCACATTCACGTGACACTTTCGCATAAATTCACAATTAAATTCACAAGCCATGGAAATTTTAAATAACCAAACATGCAATGGAACACACATCCCAGTGGAGCAATGTTTAGTGTTGCAGCATTTAAAATACTTTTGTTGTTTTTGGCATTTTAATCTACTCTAATCGAGAAAATGTGCAAAGCTCAACAGCTTCCCAAAGGGGGTAGGAAATAACCAAATAATGCTTTTAATAAACTGAAAATTAACTAAACAAAGTCTTTAAATTGTTTGCAAATTTTCTCTTAAGTAGAAAATTTCTAAACAAAATGCACTATGGGTTGTTTTATAAGAAATTTTATAACAAATACTTTTCCAAAAACACCACATAAATTGTTAAATTTTAATCTTTTTTTAATTACTTAACCACTGCGCATTATGATAAACTGCAATGCAATTGCATTCATGGCAAATTCAAATTTGTCCTACCCTCCTCGCTCACTTTAAGCCATTGTATTTACCAGTCACCATAAATTTTCATATAAAATAATGATTATTTGCTTTTAGTTTTTCTTAAGAAAACGAGATTTAAACTTGAATTCTAGAGAAAAACAAAGGCGACATTATTTGCTAGACGAAATTCCCTTAATAACCCTCGTTTAAGCATGAATGTCTCCAAGTAATATTTTGCACTTAATGAGTTTTTCTCATAACATTTGTTTACTTTTTACGACGATTTTATTTGTTTGTTTTTCTTAAACAATTTCATACGATAAATACCGCAAAATTTGTTAAAACTACCTTGATTACAAAAGTCTAACAAGTTAAAGAAAAAATCAACAACAACAAAAATGCATATAAAAAGTTACTTAACAAAAACCTATAAAACTTGCATGTCTCTCTATGTAAATTTGTTGACGATTTTTTTGTATATAAATTCAAGGCAGAAAAAAATCTGAGAAAAATTTTCTCACAATTAATGAAAATGAAAATTATAAAAATTTCTCACAATCGTAGCACAACCTTCCATAGAAAATTTCAGAAAAAATGAGAACAATTTTCTATAGAAAATTTCTTACAAAATGAGAAAAATTTTCTATAGAAAATTTCTTACAAAATGAGAAAAATTTTCTATAGAAAATTTCTCACAAAATGAGAACGATTTTCTATAGAAAATTTCTCACAAAATGAGAACTATTTTCTATAGAAAATTTTGTCACAAAATGAGAACTATTTTCTATAGAAAATTTCTCACAAAATGAGAACTATTTTCTATAGAAAATTTCTCACAAAATGAGAACTATTTTCTATAGAAAATTTCTCACAAAATGAGAACAATTTTCTATAGAAAATTTCTCACAAAATGAGAACAATTTTCTATAGAAAATTTCTCACAAAATGAGAACAATTTTCTATAGAAAATTTCTCACAAAATGAGAACAATTTTCTATAGAAAATTTCTCACAAAATGAGAACTATTTTCTATAGAAAATTTCTCACAAAATGAGAACTATTTTCTATAGAAAATTTCTCACAAAATGAGAACTATTTTCTATAGAAAATTTCTCACAAAATGAGAACTATTTTCTATAGAAAATTTCTCACAAAATGAGAACTATTTTCTATTGAAAATTTCTCACAAAATGAGAACAATTTGTGAGAAAAATGAGAACAATCTGAGAAAATTTCTCAGAAAATTTCTCAGAATCTGAGAAACATTTTCTATAGAAAATTTTTCGTTATCTGAGACAAATTTTCTATAGAAGATTTCTCAGAATCTGAGAAACATTTTGTATAGAAAATTTCTCACTATCTGAGAAACATTTTCTATAGAAAATTTCTCACTATTTTCTGTAGAAAATTTCTCACACTCTGAGAATAATTTTCTATAGAAAATTTCTTACAATCTGATACACATTTGCTATAGAAAATTTCTTACAATCTGAGACACATTTTCTATAGAAAATTTCTCATAAGCTGAGATACATTCTCTATAGAAAATTTTGATTGAAAATTGTTTAATATAAATTTCTTTCAAAGTTCTTTTATTAAGAAAAAGATTCACTATTTTAGTAATTATACACTGCCAACAGTTTTCCCACTGCTCTATTATGTCTATAGTTTATTTATGACTTCTTTTCAACAAATTATTACCTCATGAAAACTCCGCTAGTTTTTTTCACAGCAATTTTCCATTTTACTATAAAATTTACTACCACAATAATTACTAAATACTACAAGTTTTTCTACACACACACACATACACACAAAATATAACTGTCCGTCTGTCTGTCACTTTTAACTGCTACTGTATTAAATTTTACAAAAACAAAAGCGTTAAACCAACTCTAAATGGAGAAAAATCGTGTTCATGTTTTTCCAAGCAAATCAAGTCACTGGCTAATGATTCACTGTCAGTGTATTTAGTGGTGGCAGTACCTGTTTCCACTTTGAAACTTTTTTTATTACAACTTAAATCTTTTTTAAAAAAAATCCACTAACTACTGTAGGCAGTTAAGCACATCTTCTTCAGTCAGTGTGTTATTAAAACAAAACGCCTTTTACAAAGTATTCCAGCTTCATATACATACAAATATGTATGATTGTAAAAAAGAAAATATGAAAACATTTATTGCATTTGTTTGTGCACAACGAAAACAAGTCCAAATAAAAATACACTTAAAGTTATTTAAACAACGAGATAAAAAAAATTGTTCATCAAAACGTTTAAATATGACCAAACAGGAAGTGAGTGTTTAAACACACAAGATATGACGTTGATAATAAAAAAAAAAAACAAAAGTGATTCGAAAAGATTATGATGATGATAATTAGGATGCTGCTGTTTGCAGCTGATGATATGATGATATTGCTTGTTAGTTGTTGGTTGGTTGTTAAGCGATTGAATGAAAGTAAAATTTAAATGATTAAAAAATTAATAGCTTTTTAAATGAGTGTGTTTAACATTTATTTCCTATTAAAACAGGATTTATGACTTAAATACAAATTAAAAGTGATTTTTGTGTGAACTAGGCTATATTAGGCTTTGATATATGACGTTTATAGATTTCCTTTTATTTATAATTAAATAAAGATGTTTAATAATATATTTTTTGGGTTTTCTAAATTGAAAATGTATAACATACCTTAAGGCAGTCAAAGAAGTTTTTCTAAAACGCCAAATCTAACAACAATTTCCTATAAGAAATTTCTGAAAATCCGAAAAGAATCTGAGTACAATTTTCCATAAAACATTTCTTACAATTTTCTATACAAAATTTCTCACAATCTGAGAACAATTTTCTATAGAAAATTTCTCACAATCTGAGAAACATTTTCTATAGAAAATTTCTCACAATCTGAGAAACATTTTCTATAGAAAATTTCTCACAATCTGAGAAACATTTTCTATAGAAAATTTCTCACAATCTGAGAAACATTTTCTATAGAAAATTTCTCACAATCTGAGAAACATTTTCTATAGAAAATTTCTCACAATCTGAGAAACATTTTCTATAGAAAATTTCTCACAATCTGAGAAATATTTTCTATAGAAAATTTCTCAGAATCTGAGAAACATTTTCTATAGAAAATTTCTCACAATTTGTGAAACATTTTCTATAGAAAATTTCTCACAATTTGTGAAACATTTTCTATAGAAAATTTCTCACAATTTGTGAAACATTTTCTATAGAAAATTTCTCACAATTTGTGAAACATTTTCTATAGAAAATTTCTCACAATTTGTGAAACATTTTCTATAGAAAATTTCTCACAATTTGTGAAACATTTTCTATAGAAAATTTCTCACAATTTGTGAAACATTTTCTATAGAAAATTTCTCACAATTTGTGAAACATTTTCTATAGAAAATTTCTCACAATTTGTGAAACATTTTCTATAGAAAATTTCTCACAATTTGTGAAACATTTTCTATAGAAAATTTCTCACAATCTGAGTACCATTTTCTATAGAAAATTTCTCACAATCTGAGTACCATTTTCTATAGACATTTTTTCACACTTTGAGTACAGTTTTGTATATAGAATTTCTCAGATTTTAAACACACTCTTCTATATCAATTTTCTGCTTTTTTGAAAAAAATTTGTATGAAAAGTTTTGCATCTTATTATAGAACATTTAACCTTAAGAAGAAAATTTAATTAATTCTATTAATTTGTTTATTAATATTCTTTTCTCTCTCTCTTTCTCTTTTTAGCTAAAAAACAAAATGGTGCTGCTTTGCGTACAAATAGTTTAGGTTCTGGCACACGCACACCACCTTTGGAACGCAAAAGCAAATTAAGCGCTTTGGGGCGTTTCTTTAAACCCTGGAAATGGCGGCGGAAAAAGAAAAGCGAAAAATTCGAAGCAGCCTCAAAGTGTAAGTAGGAAATTTTGTTTATAAAACTTCTCTAAGAAAGTGAGAGGTTTAGTACCAAACGTGGATAGTTCTAGCAATGCTGTGGCCCCATATAACTTATAATCATATATAAATTTTTATTTTAGCCCTTGAACGCAAAATATCTGTACGTGCCAATCGAGAAGAACTTGTTCAAAAAGGTATACTTTTACCGGAAAGTCCGCTGGGGAATATACAAGAACCAGGTGAGTTAACATACAATATCCCAAGATTGATCTAGTAGGATTACTTCCGTGAACGTTTTGACATCTAAAGAAAGTATTTTACAAATAACAAACGATTTGGAAATCCTCGTATTTCCAAAATCCTACTTAATACTTTGTTGCATTTGATTTACTAACATTTCAACCTTTCAATCAAACCATACGACTTAAACTTTCTTAAAATCATTCACCGATTAATTTGTTGAAAGAGACATGTCGAAAGATTAAACTGTACAAATTGCTGTATCAATCAATAAAAGATACAGGTACAAACAAAACTGTGCATGCAGTATTTGCAGCAAGAAAAGTTTCATTACAACTAAATGTTGAGGTTTAATAAAAGATGCGCACTTTTGAGATGGACATAATATTAGGTGTAAATAAAAATATATGGCCTAACAGGGGAAAATTTTAAAAATCATAAAGGAAGTCTAATAAAATTATGTTCAAAACGAAATACTTTACTTTTATGTTTGAGATCAAAAACTTTTACCTCCCCCTAATACTTAATTTTCATATATCTGTATTGAATACTAAATAAATATTTTTATGTATTTTTGCAACTTTAAACTCTCTTACATTCTCATATTATTTTAATTTGTCTCTTGTATACTTATTCACGTTTATTGAAAATTATAAAATATTTTCTGTAATTATGTATGCTTGATGTATTCTGTAAATATTATGTCTGTCAATTCTTTCCACTTTTTTTCTTTCTTCTACTAAAGACAAGTACGAATATTTCTCTGGAATAAAGAAAATCACAAGTCGAAACATGATTAAAGCAATACAGACAAGATTAACTAAACAAATTATTAAAAATCGTACAATCATTGGAAAAATCATAAACATATAGAGACAGCTAAACGGACGGACGGACGGACTGACTTTCGCAAGAAGACTCTTTATTCCATGTCGTCATTTTGTTTACGTTGTGTCTTTGTCATTGCCAACCAATAATTATTTTTACCACTTGAGTAGAATTTCAAATGAGCTCAACAACTGTCTGTTTGTCCATCCATGTTACTTGCGATGGGAGTAAGAGTAACTGACCACAGTTAATAGTTTTACTGTTTAGATGGTTAAGGTTTGAATGAATACCTGTAATCACTATTATGGTCATATCATTAAATATTGAGTTATTGTCGAACTAAAAGTAAGGGGTTTAAAGAAAAACTATATAGACTATAGTCTGGATAATATACTAGTCTGTAGTATGGTCTTTAGTTTGGTCTATAGTGTGAACTATAGTCTATAGTTTTTAGTATGGACTAATGTCTAGTCTATAGCCTAGACTATAATCTAGTCTATAGTCTGGACTATTCTTTAGTCTATAGTCTGGACTATAGTTTAGTCTGTGGTCTGGATATATAGTCTATACTTACTATTGTTCAGTCTATAAACTGGACTATAGTCTGGTCAATTGTCTGGTATCTAGTCTATACACTGGACGATAGTCTTTCGCCTGGAGTATAGTCTATTGTCTGGGCACTAGTCCATAGTCTGGAATGTAGTCTATAGTCTGTACTATACTCTATATAGTCTGGACTGCAGTATATAGTCTGGACTATATTCTATAACCTGGACTATAATCTATATCCTGGATATAGTCTATAGTCTGGACTAAAGTATATAGTCTGGTCTATAGTATATAGTCTGGACAGCAATCTACATAGTCTGGATTTCAGTATATAGTCTGGACTATAGTCTACAGCCTGGCCTATACTCTACAGCCTGGACTATAGTCTACAGTGTGGACTACAGTCTATAGTCTGGATTCTAGTCTATGGTCTGTACTCTAGTCTGGACAGTTTATAGTCTGGACTATAGTCTTGACTTTAGTTTATAGTCTGGACTATAGTCTATAGTCTTGACTATAGTCTATAGTATGGACTATAGTCTTGAATACAGTCTACAGTCTTGAATACAGTCTATAGTCTGGACTATAGTCTTGACTATAGTCAATAGTATTGACTATAGTCTATAGTCTGGACTATAGTCTATAGTCTGGACTATAGTCTGAACTATAGTCTATAGTCTGAACTATAGTCTATACTCTGGACTATAGTCTATAGGCTGGACTATAGTCTATAGTATGGACTATAGTCTGTAGTACAGTCTATTGTCTGGACTACAGTCTATCGTCTGGACTACAGTCTATTGCCTGGACTATAGTTTATTGTTTGAACTATTGTCTATAGTATGGTCTATAGTATGGACCATAGCCTGTACTCTAGTCTATAGGCTGGACTATGGTCTATAGTCTATAGTCTGGACTACAGTCTATTGTCTAGACTACAGTCTATCGTCTGGACTGCAGTCTATTGTCTGGACTACAGTCTATTGTCTGAACTATTGTCTATAGTATGGTCTATAGTATGGACTATAGCCTGTACTCTAGTCTATAGTCTGGACTATGGTCTATAGCCTGGACTATAGTCTATGGTCTGGACTATAGTCTATAGTCTGGACTATAGTTTATAGTCTGGACTATAGTCTAGACTATAGTCTATAGTCTGCACTATAGTCTATAGTCTGGACTATAGTCTGTAGTCGGGACTATAGTCTATAGTCTGGACTACAGTCCGTAGTCTGGACTATGTTATATAGTCTGGACTATAGTCTGGACTATAGTCTGGACTATAGTCTATAGTCTGGACTATAGTCTATTGTCTGGACTATAGTCTATAATCTGGACTATAGTCTATAGTCTGGACTATAGTCTATAGTCTGGACTATAATATAGTCTGGACTATAGTCTATAGTCTGAACTATAGACTATAGTCTGGACTAAAGTCTGTAGTCAGGACTATATTATATAGTCTGAACTATAGTCTATAATCTGGACTATAGTCTATAGTCTGGACTATAGCCTATAGTCTGGACTATAGTCTGTAGTCTTGACCATGGTCAATACTTTTGACTATAGTCTATGGTCTTGACTATGAAATAAAGTCTAGTGCATAGTCTGGACTAAAGTCTAGTGCATAGTCTGGACTAAAGTCTAGTGCATAGTCTGGACTAAAGTCTAGTCTATAGTCTTGACCATAGTCAATAGTCTTGACTATAGTCTATGGTCTTGACTGTGAACTAAAGTCTAGTGTATAGTCTGGACTAAAGTCTAGTCTATAATCTGGACTAATGTCTAGTCTATCTATATATACTATACAATATAGTCTACTATATTGTATAGTATATAGTCCGGACTATAGTCTATAGTCTGGACTATAGCCTATGGTCTGGACTATAGTATATAGTCTGGACTGCAGTCTGTAGTCTGGACTATAGTCTATAGTCTGAACTATAGTCTAGAGTCTTGACCATAGTCAATAGTCTTGACTATAGTCTATGGTCTTGACTATGAACTAAGTCTAGTGCATAGTCTGGACTAAAGTCTTTTCTATAGTCTGGGATATAGACTACTATATTGTAAAGTATATAGTCTAGTGCATTTTCTGTACAATTTCTAGTCTAAAGTCTGTACTGTAATATACTCTTGTCTAGTACAAATTTTGAATTATGGTTTATTCTACAGTCTAGACCATATAATCTGACAATCATTTTCTATAGAAAATTTTTCAGAATCTGAGTACCATTTCTTTTAATAATCTTAGTTGATTTTCCTATAGAAATTTATTATTATTTATTATAATTATTTGCTTTGGAATACTTTCCCATTTAACATTCTCCTAAATTACCGCAGATGTCGCTCTAACCAAAGTTTTCTCTAACAACAATAATAGCTTTTTCCCACAAAAGCTCTTATAAAAACAGACTTTCCACCACAAAAGCTTTTGCTGCTAAAATCATATAAAAAGCTTATTATTATTTGTTTTGTTTTTATTTGTTTATTTTTATCTCTTTATATCTCTTATTTAGGTGAGGAATCATATTACAACAATTCGAACGCCGTTAATAATTCCAGCAACAATGGCAACGGTACGTTACACTCCTCAAACGTCCAAAATAATTCCATGCTTAATGCTACCACCGGTGGTAGCAACATTGGCAATAGTATTAATTCTTCCCAACAGCTGCAGCAGCAGCAACAACAAGTTAACAATGCGTTAGCGATACAATTTCAAGGCAACAATATGCATAATGGTTCAGGTGGTAGTGGTGGTGGCCAAACTTCTAATAATCCTGCCTCCAATTTACAAAATAATAATTCAACCTCAAACTCACAGACGAATAACGGCAGTGGCAATAATGCCAACAACAATAACAGTAACAATAATAACAGCAACAATACAATTTCCGGTAATAACGCAAATGAAAATTCTACATCCGGTGGCGTTGGTGTGCCACATTCACAATCGGCTCCTCATCAATTGGGCAACCAACAGCAATTACAACAACCACCGCCATTGACACCACTGGCTCAGCATCATCAGGCGTTGGCGCAACAGTTGCAGCAACGATTTGCCATCAGCAATAATAATGGTGAGTGCTTTTTTTTCTTTCATTTTCTTTTTAATTTTTTTCTTTTATATTTTTATTTATTCTATAATTTATTAGTTTTATATTACAACAAATAACATTAAAGTAAGAAGAAATAATTTTTGTTGTAAATTTTTTTCTATGAAAACTGTTGGATACTTGTTTAACAGATGGTTGTCTGTGTTAGTTTTTTATTTCTAAGGACTATTTGGAAAAGGACATTTATTTTTCTTTCATATTTTATGACTTAAGTTTTTCTATTTCTACTACTTTCTATTATTGTCTTCATCATTATTATTGTTGGGGTTGTTGTTGGATTGATGTTGTTGTTGCCGCTGCTGTTTAGCTTTATTAATTCAACATGTGAATTAGAAATGTTGTTCCACTTATTTGTTTTTGTTGCTATTTGTCACAAATTTCTTTTTTCGCTTTTTTTTAAGAAATAATAATAAAAAATAAAGTCATGCCATGTCAGCCTGTGTTGTCTCCAACACATTTCTTTTGTTCCCTTGTTTAGCGTCCAATAAAGAAGTTTTTCATTGTTGTCTCCTCTTTTCTTATTTAGCTGTTGAAAATGACTCCAAAACAAATTTATGAATGAAAACTGCAATTCAACAAAAAAAAAAAAAAAAACAATTAGGAAGGTATATAGGAAGAAAATCTGATCAGATTTTCAGAATTTTTTTCTGAAATTTTCTATAGTAAATTGTACTCAGATTGGAAGAAATTTTCTATAGAAAATGTTTCTCATATTGAGAGAAATTTTCTATAGAAAATGTTTCTCATATTGAGAGAAATTTTCTATAGAAAATGTTTCTCATATTGAGAGAAATTTTCTATAGAAAATGTTTCTCATATTGAGAGAAATTTTCTATAGAAAATGTTTCTCATATTGAGAGAAATTTTCTATAGAAAATGTTTCTCATATTGAGAGAAATTTTCTATAGAAAATGTTTCTCATATTGAGAGAAAGTTTCCATAGAAAATGTTTCTCATATTGAGAGAAATTTTCTATAGAAAATGTTTCGCATATTGAGAGAAATTTTCTATAGAAAATTTTTCTCATATTGAGAGAAATTTTCTATTGAAAATTTTTCTCATATTGAGAGAAATTTTCTATAGAAAATGTTTCTCATATTGAGAGAAATTTTCTATAGAAAATGTTTCTCATATTGAGAGAAATTTTCTATAGAAAATGTTTCTCATATTGAGAGAAATTTTCTATAGAAAATGTTTCTCATATTGAGAGAAATTTTCTATAGAAAATGTTTCTCATATTGAGAGAAATTTTCTATAGAAAATGTTTCTCATATTGAGAGAAATTTTCTATAGAAAATGTTTCTCATATTGAGAGAAATTTTCTATAGAAAATGTTTCTCATATTGAGAGAAATTTTCTATAGAAAATGTTTCTCATATTGAGAGAAATTTTCTATAGAAAATGTTTCTCATATTGAGAGAAATTTTCTATAAAAAATGTTTCTCAGATTGGAAGAAATTTTCTATAGAAAATGTTTCTCAGATTGAGAGAAATTTTCTATAGAAAAAGTTTCTCATATTGAGAGAAATTTTCTATAGAAAAAGTTTCTCATATTGAGAGAAATTTTCTATAGAAAAAGTTTCTCATATTGAGAGAAATTTTCTATAGAAAAAGTTTCTCATATTGAGAGAAATTTTCTATAGAAAAAGTTTCTCATATTGAGAGAAATTTTCTATAGAAAAAGTTTCTCATATTGAGAGAAATTTTCTATAGAAAAAGTTTCTCATATTGAGAGAAATTTTCTATAGAAAAAGTTTCTCATATTGAGAGAAATTTTCTATAGAAAATGTTTATCAGATTGAGAGAAATTTTCTATAGAAAATGTTTCTCAGAATTTTCCATAGAAAATGTTTCTCAGATTGTGAAAAATTTTCTATAGAAAATGTTTCTCAGATTGTGAGAAATTTTCTATAGAAAATTGTTTTCAGATTGTGAGAAATTTTCTATAGTAAATGTGTCTTTGATAGTGAGAAATATTTTAAATAAATATTTTCTTGATTTTCCCCTTTAAATTTTTATTTCTTCTGTTGTTTCTTTTATAATGATTTAAGTTTTTTTGTTTTTGTTAATGCACATGTTAAATTATTTGTTTTTGTTTGTTTTTCCTTTCTAATATTTGTTTAAATTTAATGAAAAAACAATAAAGTAATTGTTGTTGGTTTCGTCATAGTTTATGGCTGAAAAACATTCAGTATTTACTTGCGAAACTTACAATTCTCTTATCAAAAGTCTGATAAAATATGAAAAAGAATTTAAGAGAGGGGGAGAGGACTGTTTCTAGCACATGAAGTAGAGAGTTGCCACCTGGTTAGGATAAGTAAAGGGGAAGTAATGGGGCATTATGAAAACTATTACAGACTGAATTGATTTGCATTGACTTGGGGTCCTGGTTGGCTGTACCGATTTTATGTTGAAGTTATAAATTTTTGAAAGTCTGATAAATTATATAATCTGGCAGTCCTAACAAAGTTTAACTCAATACACCTGGCAGCACTGGACGTTATAAATAAAGTTTGTTACTCTTTTGTTTAGCAAGATTCTCTTGTTTGTGTTCATTTTTCTTTAGGCAAACAATCGCTGCCTTTTTTCGCTCTCTTTCAATTTGTTTTCATTCATATTCATTCATTCTATATTGTATTTTATCATGATTGTTTATAGCAAAAATTATTATGCGTTTTTTTGTATTTTGTTTTTCGCATATACCCGCCTTCAATGAACTCAAAACTTAGTTCGCGTTTATTATACGCAGCGTACGGCGGTTTATTCGTTCATGTTTTTTGTACTCGTAATATAGAAAAATTAAAAAAATAATTATAAATAAATAAAATATTTCTGTGGAAAAAAATTGTGATAATCTCTACAATGCTGTTTTTTGTAAATTAAATAACACCAATTTAAATTAAAACAAGTGAAATAAATGAAAATAAATCATTTTACTTGAAGAAAAAGGAAAAAAGTTGATAAAAAGCCAGAAAAAAAAATTTAAAACAAAAAAAGTAAAAATATAAGATTAATAAAATAAAGAGTAAAAAAGGCAATAATTATAAAAATTTAAAAGCAAAGTAAAAAAACAATCTAATAAGAAAATTTTTGCAGCAGCCATTAAAGGCTTAAAAGTGGAAAAATATCATAGAAAAGAGGAAAAATCTACTTTTTAAAGGTAGAATTTTTTTCATATGCAAAAGTGTGTGTGTGTGAGCTTAAACTACACGTGTATAAGTGTATGTGTTGTAATTTGCAAAAAGTAAAAAACAACATGATTTTGTTGCTATTACAACTTTGTTAGTGTGTGTGTGTTCTTTTCCTAATGGGTTTCCTTTCTCTCACTCTCTTCTTTTTTTAAGTTAAAAAATTTTTAATTTTTAAAATTTCCAAAAAGATCTTTAAATTCTTTAAAACGGAAATGAATTTATTATTGTTTCAATACAAAAGTTTTAAAATAACAATAATAATCTTAAAGAAATCTGTTGTCTGTGAGATATATCTAAAAAAATATAATTTTTCGTGTGTTTACTTTAAAAATTAAACAAAAAAAAAAATGTATTTTAAATTTTTTAGGAAGGTGGACTGATAAAGTAATTTAAAATGTTGGTGAAATAACTTGCACTTATAAAGGATTTGTTAAAAATTGTATCGTTTTAAGTAGTTTCGTTGCCTCCGAAAAGTTAGTAGTTAGTGTTTTAGTCTGTCAGACCGGAGATCGTGGATTCGTTTCTTAGCAGAGACTACGCCAAAAGAGCATTGGAAATATTGATCAAATATTGTTTTCTAGCACATCAAGTGTTAATAGTCATAAAATTCAGTTTTCGAAAAACTACTATTTATCACCATGGACGAACAATAGTCCATCTTATTACTAATTAATATTACTGTAAAATTTCAACTCCCCTAACATCTTCGTTCCGGCCCTATCATGTCCGTCCTTCTTAAATACGTAAATGTCTAACTTCGCTTTTTTATGAAGTTTGGGCGCACGGATGGACGGACAATTTATTGACAATGCCTTTTACCTTTTTGTTCAAATTCTTTAGAACTGAACTAGAACTGAACTAGAACTGAACTAGAATTGAACTAGAACTGAACTAGAACTGAACTAGAACTGAACTAGAACTGAACTAGAACTGAACTAGAACAGAACTAGAACTGAACTAGAACTGAACTAGAACTGAACTAGAACTGAACTAAAACTGAACTAGAACTGATCTAGAACTAAACTAGAACTGAACTAGAACTGAACTAGAATTGAACTAGAACTGAACTAGAACTGAACTAGAACTGAACTAGAACTGAACTAGAACTGAACGAGAACTGAACTAGAACTGAACTAGAACAGAACTAGAACTGAACTAGAACTGAACTAGAACTGAACTAAAACTGAACTAGAACTGAACTAGAACTGATCTAGAACTAAACTAGAACTGAACTAGAACTGAACTAGAATTGAACTAGAACTGAACTAGAACTGAACTAGAACTGAACTAGAACTGAACTAGAACTGAACTAGAACTGAACTAGAACTGAACTAGAACTGAACTAGAACTGAACTAGAACTGAACTAGAACTGAACTAGAACTGAACTAGAACTGAACTAGAACTGAACTAGAACTGAACTAGAACTGAACTAGAACTGAACTAGAATTGAACTAGAACTGAACTAGAACTGAACTAGAACTGAACTAGAACTGAACTAGAACTGAACTAGAACTGAACTAGAACTGAACTAGAACTGAACTAGAACTGAACTTGAACTAGAACTGAACTCGGACTGAACTAGAACTAAACTAGAACTGAAATAGAAATGAACTAGAACTGAACTAGAACTGAACTAGATCTGAACTAGAACTGAACTAGAACTGAACTAGAACTGAACTAGAACTGAACTAGAACTGAACTAGAACTGAACTAGAACTGAACTAGAACTGAACTAGAACTGAACTAGAATGATGATGTTACATGATCGAGAA